ACTGAATACAAATGAACCCAGAAGGAAAAGTTATCATTATCTAGAACAAAATGAAAGGATTTGCAGTTAACAAGCATTCATGAGGTGAAAGCCTGGGTAGGGTACACCCCCCCCCCTCCCTGCAGTGAATGAACAGCCCCTCTCATGTATGTAGACTGTAGCTCTCTTCACAACAACAGACACAGGGTGGTTCTTTGAAACGGGCCTTTATTGCTGGAGCTATCTTGTGAAGCATCTTCGTCTTTGTATCACATGCCAATCATGCCAACCACGCCGACCACGCCGTGAGAACTGTATTGGCAAATATATCAAGAAATATTTAAAGATAAAATCTTATACAAATTACAGAATAATTATCTGCTCAAAGAAAAGTACATTTGACATAAAACAAATACCTCGTTCACCGCTTGTCATGAAAAGAGGTTCTTGACTCATTTAAAGTCCTTGTAAAGTGTCTTTCACAGTCTGCTTAACCTTCAGACATCAGTGGTAACAGTCTTCATGCATGTTTACACAGACAAACAGTGTTTTTTAACCTTTTAGCTTAACATACATGAATTATTATTTATTTATTTATCGAATACATGAAATTATGACAATATGAAGTCAAACTTAAAGTTTTATGTAACAGCACTTACATAGACTTCTCTCAAGCCTGCAAGTGTGTGTGTGTGTGTGTGTGTGTGTGTGTGTGTGTGTGTGTGTGTGTGTGTGTGTGTGTGTGTGTGTGTGTGTGTGTGTGTGTGTGTCATTCTGAAGTTATATCATGTGTCCCACAGATTTAATGTTATGTAAATAAAAAGGCTGGTGGGGTGCTTTAAAGTTCTATTGATTCTTGTTGGGCTCTTTATTTGATAGATATTAGATAGAGGAGGAAATCAGGAGAGAGAGTGAAATGCAGGAAAGGAGCCGCAGGTTGTTCTTAAACCCGGTCCGCCTGCTTGGAGGACTATAACCTCTTTTTTAGGAGTGCGACCTTACCACAAGGCCTTCTGTTTTGCAGCAGGTCCTTTGGGTCCTGTAGGTTGTGATATGGAGACAAAGGGGCAGAGGCATGATTAAATACAGAGAGGGACTCCTCAAGGTCTTTATGCATTTAGACCTTGATGTCCTGTGTATTTGTAGAACACATGTCTGAAAGTACTTCAACATGTTTTGGTTCTTCAGAATCACTGTTGCTACCACTGTCTCTACAGTGGATTTAACCAGCTTATATACAGACGTGTGGCATGTATTATGGTTTGAAATAATGTTGTTGAAGTGAAATGTGTATGTGTGTACAGTGGGTTTGTTTTCATTAGTATAATAACCAAGTGAAGTATTTGGTAAATATAGTTAAAAAAAGTCATGGTAACAGTTATTTTTGATAAAAAATACAAACTGAGATAAAAATATAAACTAAATGTAATGATTTGTTTTGTTTCCACTAAATATTTTCTGTTGCATTGAACTCTAAGAAATGATTCATGGGGTTAGTAGAATACACTTCAAATAAATATGTTTTTCATCATCAAACAATAAGTTTGTTACTTGTACTAGATTTAGTAAGTTCACCACATTCTTAAAGGAGTATGTCAAACTCAGAGTGAAAGAACATTGTCTTCACTTATTGTTATATTGATTTCAAACAAAATGTTTCTGCATCCAATTAACATTTGTAGATATTAAGTTAGTATAACTGAATGACCTTCTCTTGTTCAATGTGTGCATCATTTCAAAGCGCTCACGTGTGAATTTGCTCAGACTTGTTCTGCTGACACATCGTGTCCACCGTGTGTGAGACAGACGGGGGAGAGAAAAATCATTCACATACTCTCTAAGTAGCTATTTTCACTATTTTTCATGACTGTACCTGCACACAGTTCAAAGATCTTTTTAACACAGCTCTAAACTGAAATAAATGTGAGGTTTGTGCTAAGCTAACGTTACTGTAGCATTGACATGTTGCTAGAACTTCAGTGGCCTAGCTTTCAGTGTTTTCAATCTATCTATTGGTTGTGTCACAGAGTCAACTGAATGCTGTTACTCAGCATGCAGCTGTTTGTTTAGACACTGAAAAGGGAAGTGGAACAGTGTTTTATTTACTTATTATTTAAAGTCTGCATTAGCTTACGTTTCTCATTCATGTGTAGTTTAACCTGTGACAAATGGAGGTGATGATATTTTTGGGTTAAGTTGATGACATGTTCAAGGCAGAATGGTGAAGTTATTTTTGTGTTAAATATTTTGAAATGTTCCTTTAATACTTTCAAAATGTGACTGATTCATTGTTTTACCTGAGTTTTATAATGCTAAACAGACGTTTCTGAATCAATGTTGTACATGATAGTTGTTCTGTAAAAAATACAGACTGGTCAACACTCAGTCCTCTCCTCCCTGTAATGTACTTATTCAAATACATTGTTGTTCACAAACACTTTGAAGACATTTTTTCACCTTCTAAGGATGGTGATCCACTGCCTGGTGGTTTATCTCTGGGGGAAGGTCTTCAAGGAAACGATGGTAGGTAAATCCAGACATTAAAGTTTAGAAACACTACTTGTGTAACTTTTGTTTTAAACCATGATGACTTCAAAAAACTAACATGTGGATTCTGACGTCCTTATGCCAGGATTCTGAAGTGAAGGATACTGATGGAGATTGTTGTTACCAGAGGAGCCATAATGTGTGATCCAGCACAAAGATAGTGAAGGACCAGAACCTTGAAGACCTGGATGTACCGAGAGCTGAGCCTTGCTGATGGGTCTGGTCTACAAACTCAACCTCAGGTACCCAAAAGAAGTGATCTGAACGTTTGAGGTATTTCAACTGGATACGCAGGTCGGGCTGCAACAAAGACGGTCCGACCGACCGGGATGTTCATCCTCCTTGAATCCTGGTGAGGTGGTTTCTTTTTTTCTGCTGCTTTTTCTTTCTGGTAAACCAGCGATCGATTGACTTTTTTGTTGGATTACTTGGGTTCCTTTTTTCTTGGACGAGCTGAGTTTTTTTAGAGGAACAAACAGCCGCGTCGTGGATTGTTTTTTTTTATGGATTAAAAAGAGACTTAGAGACAATTGAAACTTTCATGGCTCATAATGTATGTTTCATTTGTTTGGGACTTTTAGTTTATTTTGGATTTATAAAGTTTTAATTACAACAAAAATATCCCTTTAATTGACCCCTTTATGAATCCAAAATAAACTAAATCAGAAGTCAACCAGAGACCGTTAGAACCGGACTCTTAAAGTGATTTGATGATCCAGGATCAGGTGATCCGGCTCACTTTGATCCTGTTTGGATCACCCTGATCCAGGTACAGATTTAAGGATTATCTCATCCAGATTTAAGAGCTTTTTTTGTCACTTATTTTACTACTTATAGGAGGAGGAGGAAGAGGAGGAGGAGGAGGAGAGAGGAGGAGAGAGAGGAGGAGGAAGAGGAGGAGGAGAGAAGGAGGAGGAAGAGGAGGAGGAGGAGGAGAGGAGGAGAGAAGGAGGAGAGAGAGGAGGAGGAGAGAGAGGAGAGAAGGAGGAGGAAGAGAGGAGGAGGAGAGAAGGAGGAGGAAGAAGAGGAGGAAGAGGAGGAGGAGGAGGAGGAGAAGAGGAGGAGAGGAGGAGGAGGAGAGGAGGAGGAGGAGAGGAGGAGGAAGAGGAGGAGGAAGAGAGGAGGAGGAGAGAAGGAGGAGGAAGAAGGGAGGAGGAGGAGAGGAGGAGGAAGAAGGAGGAGGAGAGGAGGAGGAGGAGAGAAGGAGGAGGAGAGAAGGAGGAGGAAGAGGAGGAGGAAGAGAGAGGAGGAGAGGAGGAGGAGGAGAGGAGGAGGAAGAGGAGGAGGAAGAGAGAGGAGGAGAGAAGGAGGAGGAGAAGAGGAGGAGGAGGAAGAAGAGGAGGAGGAGGAGGAGGAGAGGAGGAGGAGGAGGAGAGGAGGAGGAGGAGAGAAGGAGGAGGAAGAGGAGGAGGAAGAAGAGGAGGAGGAGAGGGGGAGGAGGAGAGAAGGAGGAGGAAGAGGAGAGAAGGAGGAGGAAGAGGAGAGGAGGAGGAGGAGGAGGAGGAGAGGAGGAGGAGATCTTTGTTTCTCTGTTATTGTGACAGACAGAGGAGGAGGAGGAGGAGGAGGAGGAGGAGGAGGAGGAGGAGATCTTTGAGTTACCTCCATCAGAGCAGCTCAGTCTCCAGGACTGATCATTATCTCCAAACAAACATTCATCTCTGTCTCCTCTCCTTCTGACTCCTCTGTAACTCACTGATACAGAAACATCTCCTCTCCACTCGACCTCCCAGTAACAGCGGCCAGTCAGACCAGTCCTACACAGCAGCTGAGGATAGTAATCAAATCTGTCTGGATGATCAGGATATGACTGAAGCTTCTCCACATATGTCACCTTCCTGTTGTTGTCAGACAGTTTGAGGATTCTGTTCACTGTGTTTGTGTCCAGTTCCAGCTCACAGGCGTCTGATGGAGAGAACGAGACACAACACAGCTGCAGGTTATCATCTGTTCATTCATCAACAACTATATATATATATATATATATTTGTATCTGTTTCTATTCCTGTAGTGTGTGTTCTTCTTCCTGCATTTCTTTCTTTGTGTGTACATGTGTATATTTGTCTATATTTTTCTATTATTGTACAACACGTTCTATTTATTGCATATCAGAATGTAGCCAAATTCTTTTTGATGTTTTTTCTTGCTAGAACACAGGAAATGGTAAGTATAATAATGCTTTAGAACAACACTGAAACTGTTACTTGGAGCCTGCATGAACGGGGCACAAGTAACTTTCAATGTCTGCCGTTAAGCAAGTGTACATGTTGTCTCACTAATGAATTGAACTTAGAGCCTGAAAAGACTGAAAAGACTCCTTTTTTCAGAGAAACCCACCGATTACATCGATGATTATCAGTTGGAGCCTGCATGAACGGGGCCCAACTTTTCCATTAAAAATCTGCTGGGATGCTACTCCAAGACAAACTTATAAAAAAAATACAAAAAATATCATTCTCAAAATTGTACATAGAGCCTTTACAGAGAAACCTCACCTCACCACTACTTAAAGCCAATGTCAGATAAAAAGTGAACACATGAATGACTGGTCAATGTCTTTGAGAGTCTGCATGAACTAAGATGATGTTCATCTATTAATCATGTTCAGTGGGAGATTACAAAATGTTAAAATGTATGAAAATGTTACTGTTACCTTGTTGTTGTAAGATACATGAATATGTGGAGTTCATAGTTAAAGGTTTGGAGTTAAGGGGAGGGGTATTTTTGACATACTCTTGCTGTATTTCCTGATTTACTTTGTTGTTAATTTTATCCCCTTTGCTTACCCTCAGGTTCAGTAACTGTACATATGTTTTCCATTGTTGTTGTATGTTTTCTCTTCGTTGTTTTATAGTTTCTTGTACGTTTGTCGTGTTATATGTTCCTACTCTTAGCCTGCACCTTGTCGTGGTGAGTGGGCTTTCAACCAAGACAGGCCGTACTAAATGTTTAAAACCAGTGTTATTAACTTATTTTCTCTCTCATGTAGTACGATGTAGGACACTAGGGAGTGTCATGGCTGTCTTTCTGTGGGCGCGATGATCCAATTAACACTCTGTGGCTGAAAGATTGCTGTTCATTCCATCTAACTCCTCAGACGTGCACACCTACTCTCCATCAACTCATCAACTCAACAGTATATATACCCCGGCTCTCAATCCACTCGCCAGATCGTTCTTTCAGCTACGGTAGAATACGGTTCAGGCGTAGTTTTTGATAGACTTTTAAATACTTTCTTGTGCGAGTTTTGTTCTGATATTCATCCTGTTTTTCTTTTACTTTAGGTTCACCCACCTGCCTTCTTGGATTCAAAGCCTCTCAATCAACCAGGCTCACATCGCAACTCTGCTCTGATCAGCCGTCTCCCTTTCACTCTGCAGACCTTGTGAATCATCGTCTCATCTCCCTTCCTCTGCAATAAACCTCATTACAAGTCAACCTGTTGTTCTTATGAATTCCATATTATTCCTCATATATATTCCATATTGTTTTTGTTTGCCAATATAGTCTTATAAGTTAGGAATGTCTCAGAAGATATGAGTGGACGCTCCTGCTAGTTCCCATTTCTTAACCTCTTAAAACTGTAATCCATTGATTCTTTTTGATATATTATATAAATATAAATGATCTGCTTTTTAATACTTCCCTTAATTGTTAACATTAAAACTCTTCTATATTCGATGATAAAGCACATCATTTGTATAGTTTAGATGGGTAAACTAGACGATATTATGTGATATTGATCTAGGAAGACCACATTTCTGAATGATTTTTAAACATTTTTCTAATCACACGTAATTAATGTAATTTACTCTGGTTGAATCTTGATTTTGATTGTTTTGAATTTGTATATGGGGACTTCTTGTGGCAGATATTGGAACAGAAAGAGCAGAAATCTCTCCACTTTACATTATTAGAGATAAAGGAAGGGTTTTTGTATCTAAAGCAAGTATCAAAAGGCATGCGCTTTACAAAAATGAAGAATACAATTCATGCATCCATGTTATCCTAAATTATTTTCATGTTGTCAGAAATAAACTAGGGACTGACAAGCCCCTTATTGGTGCCATAGATAACAGGACCACATGCAAAATATTCACAAATATTTAAAAGGGTTGGTCTGGTGTAAACCTCCTTGTGACATGATATGTTGTCAATGTTCCACATTTTAAAGAGCGATTGATTTTCCTGTATACATTTTTAGTAAGAGAATACAGTATTTTATAAATTCCTGCCTGTTTATATATGTCTCTAAATACTTACACATACACATATATATACAAGCACTTACTCACATACATATACCCATCCTCACACATACATGAATACACACACTCAAAGTGCACATATACAGTATATACATACAAACGCAAGTGCCGACCATATACTGTGGTCTGAGATATGCCGACTCCCTATACTGCAAGTCAGAGTATTGTCCACCAAGGCTTGCTCACCAAGAAGTAGTCCAATCTGGAGTGTGAATTGTGAGGTATTGAATAGAAAGTGTAATCTTTCTCTGTCGGATGTGTTAATCTCCATATATCCACTAATGCTTGGTCTTTCATCAGAGTATTCAAAGCTTTTTCAGCTTTATTTCTACTTTTGCTTGGAGCAGAGGCGATTTATCAATAACTTTATCCAATACAATGTTAAAATCCCCCCCATCACGATAGGGATATCTCCCAGCGCTGAGATGTGGTTATTAATTTCATGGAACACAGTACCATCAGAATTGGGGGGCGCATAAATATTAATAAATGCCATTTGGATGTTGTTAAGAGAACCAACAGTAATGGCATACCTCCCATAAGCGTCACTTATATTTTGTGTGATGATAAAGTTAAGTTTTTTGTGAAAAAGAGTTACCACCCCTCTACTTTTGGTATCATATGTGCTGGATGACACTTGGCCAACCCATTCCCTTCTCAGTTTCATAGCTTCTTGTTGGAGAATATGAGTTTCCTGCAGAAATAATATTTGACAATTTTACTTTTAGCGAAGTTCAGTGTTTATTTTCTTTTAATAGGCTGGTTTATCCGATCTCTGACGTTTCAAGTCATGAGATGTATTGTACTATCTCTACTCATTACTAGATGTGGCATTGTATTTATCAACTTTTGACCGCCCTTTAACAGAAAAGATACACACAAAAAAAACATAAAATATTTACATACACATGAACATGCTCCCCCTCCCTCCCCTGCATCTCAACCCCATGCTTTGAGAGCAATACCCTAAGTAATTTGGTGATGGCATTAGACGCTCAACACCAAAGACTCCCGTTGGACCCCCTCTATATTCAGAGTAGTTTACTGTCAGGGAACTGAGTTTTTATTCCTAATAATAGAAAGAGGAGCCTCATTTTACAAGTAAAATACTTTATAGTAGCCACAGTAATTATTGCAACATAAGAACTCAACAACATTAGGCAACTCCTATTCGGGCCTGTAATGTATGTTAGTATAGAATCAATCTATTTAAATATTTGAAATAATGGTCTACAGGTATATCTGGCAAAGTCAAAACAAACTAAGACACACCTCCAAAAAAAAAGAAACAAACCAACAGAACAAAAAACAAAAAACAAAAAGGAAGTTACTCCTGATACTTTAGATAGCAAATATTTTACAGTCAGGAGTGGCAACCTGTAGTCATTTGTTAGAGAATGACCAAGTGTTGTCTTGAACAAAATATTGAAAAAGGCCCAGTTGCAGATTTAGGCTACTTTAGTGAAGGCTAGATGCACCTTAATATCTGCACCCAAACAAAACAAATTTATCCCCAACTCTTGTAAGTGTTCCGTTTTGTTAACGAGGCTCTCAGTCAGTTTGTTTAGAAAGTACTTGCCAGAACTTGAAGCAGAGCATCCGGTTTACTTCAGTTCTTACGATGCGTCTCTGGTTCCTTGAACGTTGCGTTGCCCATTTTTCTTTTGGCGTAAACACCTGCGCCGGGTGCGCCTGCAGCTGG